TGTAGCCAAAACATGTTGCCCAATAAGTTCATAAGTGCGTAAGTCTGGACATTCTGGGTGTTTGGACCAAATCCTTCATGTTTCCATGGAGTTATACCAGAACAAGGAGCAGCTCTCAGAAATAAAAACAACTCTCACACTATTTAATTCTCCCCTGGTCAACGTTTGTTCAATTAGTAGTAAACGTATAATTGTGAAGTCTCTGGAAGCCTGAAGGTTCATTCATCATAGTTACTGAATATTCAGGTTTAAGGTGTCGACCTGAACAGGCCTCCTGCATCTGAACATGATGCTCAGTGCAGACAGAGGCTGCAGAGTTTGGGTCCATCTTCAGTCCCAGACCAGAACCAGGTTTTCTATGCAGGAACAATTCCATTATTTAATGATTATAAATCTAATGTTCATGATGTTATAAAGTAAAGAACTTATTTTAATGTTTTTGTTGCTTATAAAGTCAATAAAACTGAATGTGATTGTCACTGAGACACACCTGCTGATGTTTGCATGAACATCAACTGATCGTTCTGGGCTCACAGCTCAGAAAGAAGAGCAGATAATAAACATCAATTAAAGTCTCTGTATAAAAGAGAATCAGAGGGAGGAGGAGATCACACCGTAGACTGACAAGATGAAGGTCCACCATGTAGGCAGAGCAGGAAGGAGCTGTTGGCTTTGCACCTCGTCTCAAACGGCATTTAATCCTCCTCCCACACACTGCAGCATCCATCACACACAGACAACAAAGACAGGCAGCAATTATGAGAAAGCGTACACAAACACCACCTACTGCGCCATGCATCCAAAACCCTCATTTTATCTGAGTCCAGCAGAACTTCCAGTGTCCGCAGCAAACAATGCGTTCCGCATGCAGACATCCAAAGACGCTCACAAAGAGCTTCTTCCTCCTAGGTGGTCCCTCTCCTCCTCCTGTCTGCTCCACTTCCTGCTTCAGGGTGACAAACGTAGCCTGCAGGATAATGCGGCGTAAGATTAAGCCGCAACTTTCCGAACAAGCACCTCCTGATGAGTTAAGATATGTGGCAACACGCCGTCCAGCCCAGGCTGAGCATGTTCACACTGTGCTGCTGTTGGTCAGAACCATCCAGAGGTTCCTCTCCTGCTGCGCTGCAGGGCCGCAGGGTCCAACTCTGGGTTCATCTGAGCAACAGAAGGGTCCTGTTGGCTCCACAGGAGGCAGCGTCCTGCAATAACAGATCTCTGAACCTGCTGCATCCAGATGTTGACACAAAACCAGAACAAACATCTTGCAATATTCAAGCATCTCTGATGATGTCATAAAACATCATCTCCAGGGGGACTGATCGGTGGTTTTAATGCTTCTTCAACTTTGAATAAAGGATTCACTACCCTGAAAAATAGTGGAAATGTTTCTGTGAGCATTTCACAGCCAATTGAGTCTCTTTCCCTCTTGGATGCACCGAGATTTACAGGAAGCAAACAGAAAATACAAGAGCAGCGAAGGACAGATGGGGAATGGCTGCCGAAATGTTCAGCGCAGCTCTCTGATTAAAAACACCAACAACAGCAGGGAGAGGGTAAACACAGGAGGAAATAGGAAATGAAGACAAAGGAACAATAAAAGTAAAGACACAATGGAAGCTGGTTAAGAAAAGAGCAGCGAGAAAAAAGCTGCAAAGAAGAAAAGAGGGAGAGAAGGAACAACATAAAGAGACAGCAGTTATGAAAGTTTAATGTCCTCAGTGTTACAGAGCCGAAGGAAGAATGAGGGAAGATAAAGATGCTAAAACGATGCTCAGATATGAGGCGTCGCAGTAAACCCCAAAAATAACAACATGGGGGGGGAGCAGAAGAAGGTCTCTGCTTCTCCTCAGCAGAATTCATCTCCCCCCATACCTTCTTACATTATAGATGCCTACATGGTGATTGCATCATGGCCTGGGCTCGTTTATTATTCAGCAGTGCAGGATTTAAACCAGGGACCGCTGCTAACATGCTACAGGCTGTGAACCTCAGGCAGAGATTCAAACCGTGCTACATAATCTGAGGCGTGTCAGGATTCCTCTGCAGATCTAGTTTCATATCACATGAGGAGAAACACGTAAAGACACTCATTTCACCAACTAGGTCCTAACAAGACTTTAAATGAGCAAAGGAAGGGAGGGCAGTGGCTCCCACTGCTGCCTGCGCCTCACAGAGGCGCTTTAAATAACCTCTGACAGGCTAAAGCACTGAGCTAATAAAACAACAACCTGTTTAAAACCTCACAAACTTAACATCCCATGAAGCTCAATAAATCGGTGCACAGCTTCGTCTGGCAGGAAGCAGGAAGTAGACCATTTCCTGTGATGGACGCATTTATCTTTTGCCTCTTTCATGGTTTTTAGTTGGAGTCAATTTTGTGGGGGTCCCCACTCTCTGGAAGATGTCCTCGTGGTACCGGATCCCAAAACGCTGCACACCAAGGAACCGGCCCACTTCAGACCACTCAACATGACCTCCCACCTGATGAAGACCATGGAGCTCCTCATCCTAACCCACCTGCGCACCGCAGTGAACCCCACCCTGGACCTGCAGTTTGCTTACCGACCTGACATGGAAGTGGAGGAGGCCATCATCTACCTGCTGCAGCGGGCGCTCACCCACCTGGAGACCATCGGCAGTACAGTGAGAGTTTTGTTCTTTGACTTTTCCAGCGCTTTCAGCAGCATCAGACCAGAGCTGCTAAGGGGGAAGCTGGAGGATGCTGGAGTGGAAACACATCTGGCTGCCTGGACCATCAACTACCTCACTGATCGACCTCAGTATCTGCTGCTGCATGGCCGTCAGTCAGAGGTCTGCAGTACCGGGGCCCCCAGGCCCCCGTTCTGTCTCTGTTGCTCAAGGCTAATTTAGCCGTTAGCTGATGATGTCACTCTGAGCTACAGAAACTGATTGGTGGAAAAAAAGCTGATTTTCACAAACTTCAATCTTCGTAAACAGAAAATTGGATAAAGCAAAGCTCAAACAGCTCTCCTCCCTCCTCTCCTCCCCCTGCCCCCCCCTCTCCTCCCTCCTCTCCTCCCCCTGCCCCCCCTCTCCTCCCTCCTCTCCTCCCCACGCTGCCATCCCCTGATGAAAGCCTTCAGCTGCTGCCAACCAGCCGACTTCCTGCTAAAAATAAAAGCCAGACGTGCAGCGAGTGAGAAGGATAGGAGCAGGAGAGGAGACGCAGAGAGGAGGAGATGGAGACTCTCCACACAAAGAAGTGAGGGAGGAGATGGAGAAAAGAGAACAACTAATAATGAGAAAAGTTTGGCTCTAAGCAGAGAGACTCACTACAGCTGATCACACTCAGCAGTCACTACTGCTCAACCAGCAGCAGGAGTTCTATTGGTGAGAGCGATGCAGCGAGGAGCGGAGGCATTTTATGAATATTAATCTGAGCCCCGGAAGGAGGTGGGAGGAGGGAATAATGGGGGGGAGGCTCCAGCAGGTGCTTCAATGGCTTCATCTGCTCAGATGCATCTCCCATCATCGCCTCGCCTGCAGCAGGACAGGAAGACCCCCCCACACACACACACACACACACACACACCGCAATGGTTTCTGTGGCACCAACATGAACTCAGCAATCCCCCACACTAAGCATGCTTGTAGCGACAGTGGAGAGGAAAAACTCGCTTTTAACAGGAAGAAACCTCCAGCAGAACCAGGCTCAGTGTGAGCGGCCATCTGCCATTCAGACTCATCTGCTGAGATTTCTGATGCCAGTTTAGCAGAGCTCTTGGCAAAGTTTGATCAAATAACAAAGGAAAAAGCGGACGTTTTAGTGCAAACTGTTCCCACCGGGACCTAAACAAGCCGGTTCATCAGCCGCGCCCACATTTAAACATTTTATTTGTATGATCCAACTGTGAATCAAAATGTGCCTCCATTTATTCCCCTAAACTAGCTGCTCCTGTCTGAGGTGTTTAGCTGCACCCGTCCATCCCAGACAATCAGTTCCCTCCTGCAGTGCAAACCTGCTGAAAAACTACAGGAAACCTTTGACCTCTGGAATCAAAGGACCAAATATTAACCTTGATTTTTTCAATTGTTCAAATACTTTTTAGCAACTGAACGATACAAATAAATATTTTTATCATAAATATTGTGATTTCTCGATTTGTTTTTTTTTTATATTATGTCTCTCAGTAGACATGAACCTATTATGACAATGTCAGACTCTCCATGATTTCTAAGATGGAGAACTTGGAGAAAAGCCAGATTTTCAAATATAGGCAACGAGGAGAGAGAGTGAGGAAGAAGGAACTGTCCATAGAGAGCAGGTAAGACATAAACACTGAGGTCTTCAGCACAACCAGCTTCATGAGGAGGTTAGGGGAACCTTAACTGGCTTAGATATATGTTTGAAGATTAATTCACCTTCAGGTCTCATGAAAGAGCCACACAGAGACTCTTATCGTCTAGATCCGCATCACTAAATGTATGATGTGAGGATGGGTGAGATTTTTCAGGGAGAGGTAAGGAGGAAGAGGCAGCATCGTGAGGAGTTTTACTGAATTACTTCTTTCTGACAAAAGCCCATAAAAAATGTAATTACATAAAAAAATATAGAATGTAAATAATAGAAGGAGCTGAACACATGTCACAGGATGCCTGGATCAGAAACAGAACTCAGGTGATGATGTTCTGAGGGGTGGAACCTGGCGGAGCTCATGGTTCTGGTTGGAGAGGTTGCTGATGATATTCAGGGTTCTGGTCAATGATCCAAGAAGGTTTCAGGTTTTTATAGCATGTCTACCTGTAATGATCAGTGGACATTATAGATCTAGATCAGTCAGAACTAAAAAGCTAAATTCATATGAACCTGATGATGAGAAACTGTAGTTTCTATTTCTATGCCGTGAGCCGTTTGATAAACTCAACATTAAGACAATGATTGTGTTTCTGCAGGGTTTTAGCTGCTTCCTGGGTTAGAACCCAAACGATGAGAAGCATCAAACTCAGAGATGACAACATGAGCAGCGTTTACTCACCCAGCCAGTCGTTGAACTTCTTGACCTCAGAGGGCAGGCCCAGCTCCGTGAAGTCTCCTGCGTGGATGAAGACGTCTCCGTAGGGCATCTGGATGGCGTCGGTGCGCGAATGAGTGTCCGACACACAAACAAAGCGGGTGTAGCCCGGTGGTTTGGGGGCGTCGTGGGGCATCGGGTCCACCCTGAGAAAAAGTTGAAAGTTGAAAAAGTGGTGCAGGAGGAGGCTGACAGGAAGGAAGTTTAAATCAGCATCCAGCAGAGAGACTGAAGCAGAGCAGGGAAGGCTGGGGACCGAGAGGCCACCATAAAACACACAGAGAGAAGGATGAGCGAAAATAGAAGAGGAGGGAAGCAGAGATCCAGAAGACTCGAGTCCTGGGGGATTTTCACGGAATGTGAACATTCCTGTGGTCTCCAGGGAACCAGCGTGATGGTGAATAACCATGGCCCACTTTACTGAGTCTCCTGCAGGTACAGATGCACAGACCTTTCTGACCCCCCCCCCCCACCCCCCCATCTTTGATTAGATAGATCCTCTACACGCCTCTAAATAATAATAAAACCATCCTGATCTTCTGGTTCTGCCTCAGAGATCAACCATCATCACCAAGGAACCAGTACAGCCTGGATAGGTTCCAGAACATCTCACTCAGCTCTGGTCAGTTCATCCTCTGGACCTGGTGAGAGGATGGACCCCTGCAGGCCATGGAGGTCCACCTCACATCAGGAGGATGAAGGGTGTAGGTTTGATTCCAGCTTTGGTAGGGACACTAATGGTCTTCAGTTTCATTGGTCCTTTGCAAAAATCTTGATGCTCTATTTTATGCTTAATGTGAGCTTTAGGAAACACTTAGTTTAAAGAGAACAGCAGCATTTCTGCTACATTAATATAAATCTTATCAGCTCTACACTCACTAGATGCTGTTTATCAATGTTTAAAGCATCACTGGCTCTGATCAATGTGGAATTAGGACTTTTTCCACTTTGAAAAGGATTGCATTTTAACTTACCAGCGACAAAGATAGAAGGTAAATATTTAACCAAATATAGCCTAAATATGTCTGTTATATGTGGATTTATCCTCTGTTTTCTATTGAAGATATAGAATTGAGCAGAGGTAACCAGAAGTATAACTCTTATTCTTTATCTAATATGCTCTCTCTGTATCATGCAAAATAATACATTCAAGGTGAAGGTAAATAAATGTATTTACATGTGCAGTGGAACTATAAGAGGAACTGACACTGAGCATTTAAAATATTAACTTCACTATACAAGTTGTACATCTGGGCTGTAGTTACTCTGTGTCGCCCATTTCAAGTATTTTATCTATGGCTGAAACAATTAATCATATTAATCAATAATTTAAATTATCATCAACTAATTTAGTAATTGATTAATCATTAACTGGAGTATAGAGCCACTAAAATGTGCCTTTAGCCGACAGAGCGACCCACTTAGAGCAGGAATTATACCAAGATTGTAAAAAATATGTAAACATTTTGCATTTAAGTTAAAAAAAAAAGTTTTTGTCTTTTAATATTCTCCATCCAGATCTCCTGAAGAGGAAACGTTTCTGTTTCACCTGGTTTCATTTAGTAAAAAAACAATCTTTAAGGAACCTTTGGCTGATCTGATTACTAATCGATTCATTGAAAAAAGAATCGACACATTAATCAATTTGCAGAATAATCATTAGTTGCAGCCCTAATTTTATAGTAACTTTCCAAACACATTTCTTCCATCATGCAGCAGTGAAGGGCAGCTGCTTCACCCTGAGGCTGCCCTGCAGCATTATATCTGTTTCCTACAATCATATAGTGTTTCTAGTGAGGTTTAAGTAGTAAAGGATTAAATGTAACAACCTTTTATCATCATCCTATATTGCTGCTGACTGAATGTTTAAATAGCTCCTTATGTCCATTTTCTTTTTTAGTGGCATCATCTACAAACACAACACTAAGAATGAGCCTAAGTTTATTCAAATATAAAATAACTTTTAACAAAAATAAAAGACAATTTAACACTATCTTATATGTAATGTAATAGTATACAAAATAAACAGCCAGATTCCAGCATTATTTACCAGACATTTATGTTTGTACTAATTTACTTATGGACTGTGTGGAAATCTAGAAAAATAGAATCACTGTAAATAGAGTTCCTCTGTTTGTCTTTATCCTATTTCTAGAAGTAGAATCAATTAAATAGAACAATTTTTATGTGGAAAACAAAAATGAGCAGATCTTTAGCATCCTTCTCGTGTTATGTTCTATAAAATAAATAAAACCTGTTATTTATACCTGAACTGCCGTGAAAATGAAAACATTAATAGCAACGAAATGTTGATAGTTTACAGTCTTTGTTCATTTTAACAGCAGTTTTCTGAACTTAGAAAAGAAATCCTAACTTTGGTTACTTTTATTTCTCAAGTTCCAAAAATCCGAACTCTCTCCTGCTTCTTTACAGAACTGTTATCAGAAGCTTTCACCTGTTTTAGCGTAAATAATATTTAGTTTTTTAATTGCCTAATATTAATTTCGGTAACTGCCGTATTCTAGCGTCAATGTTTTTTTTTGTTGCACTCCAAGCACGCGCACACATACAGACTAGAAAACAAGCAATCAGAAAGAGAGAAGGATGAACTTAAGGCATAACAATCAGAGAGTTAAACAGCACAGCACAGTTGATGCGCTGCTATGTGAAAGATACAGGAAAGAGCAGGAAGCTGCAGCTACCAGGCAGAGGAGCTGGAAAAGAAGCCACTGCTGCAAAAACGCTGGATTGTATTTTATAAAAATGTTGTTGACATCCAGTTATTGGTAGGGACAAGTAGGTCGGTCCAACATTTTGGTAGGGACATGTCCCTATGGTCCCTATGCAAACCTAAGCCCATGCTCAAGAGGAAGTGAGAAACCCTGAAGGAGCTGCAGCCAAAGGTGCACTGGTACCTCAGCAACTCGTCATCGTCACCGACCAGAAGATTTTAACGAGAACAGAAGCAGCATTCCTTCATCTCAGCGCAGGGTTGGCAATCAGGGCAACATTTAAAAAAGGGAAATCTGCTGCTTTACCAGACAGAAAAGCTAAAGCTGTTAAATACAAAGTTTACATGCATCTAATCTGTGCTGCAGGAACTGAGATGATCGGCTACTATCATGAGATATTGAAATAGATGTTAAAGGGTTTTCCTTTCAGTAATTTCAAAAAGTTTCACCTCATTGTTAAAAATCAAAGGACAGAAAGGAGCCAAAATAAAGCCAGCTGGTGTTCTGGTTTCAGGTACGTCCCAGTCTCACCACTGCATGCCGTCTGCAGCTCTTCCATCAGGTTACAGGTTTGCTTTCTTGTCCATGAGCACTGATTCTCTCCACGGTTACCGATTTAGAAGATGGACTGAATGTTCCCATCTGCATGTTTACAGGTTGGTCTCATGACCATACTGGTCTGCATGCCGCCTGCTGAAGCCCTGAGCGTAGCAAACCTTAGTGCCTGTTTCAGGCCAATCAGCTCCTGAACGTCTCAGCCCAGACGCGTTGGGACCATAGTGATGCCCAATGTGTCGCAGACCTGAACCTCCTGTTCATTTACTCACATGTGGACGTGTGGCGGCTGGAAGCGTCCCTGGTTGATGTTGTAAAAGGTGAAGGCCTGAGTGGGGTTGGTGCTGTACTCGTCCACTTCCACGGCCGCCCTGCCGCCCCTCTGAGCATGAGACTGCGCCTGGGACTGCTGCCGCCTGGCCGCCATGATCTCTGACAGGGTGAAGGCCATGGCTGTGGGAGAGGAGGTCTTCAGCTCCTGGATGCCTGGGACGGTCGCTGGCCACAGGGAGACGTCTGTCCTTTAATGAATCAAGAAGACGCTGAACTCAGTGCCACGCTGATCTGAGGAGTCAACATATCCTCCTTCTCTTCCTCTGTTTCTGCTGGTCACCTGAGGAGAGGCAGGAAGCAGAGATTAGAGAGAACGCTGGATATGTGGAGTGAAACCATCACAACATGACACCTCTTCGACCTTTATTAGCTGCTGAAACAATTATAAACTGACCGACTATCCCTGTTCCTTCACCTTTCTGCCATCAGTTCAGATCTCCTTCCTCTCCTTCGCTCCGCTCCCTGCCTGACCTCCTGGCAAAGGTCAAGCAGCTCCGCTCCCTGCCTGACCTCCTGGCAAAGGTCAAGCAGCTCCGCTCCCTGCCTGACCTCCTGGCAAAGGTCAAGCAGCTCCGCTCCCTGCCTGACCTCCTGGCAAAGGTCAAGCAGCTCCGCTCCCTGCCTGACCTCCTGGCAAAGGTCAAGCAGCTCCGCTCCCTGCCTGCTGTGTCCTCAGTGTTTCAGACTATCACGGTCACATTTACAGTGTCCCTGTTAGAGCTGAGATGAAATCATCCAGAAAATCCCCAGTCGGTGAGGAATTGATGAGCCTCACTTGCTGAAATGACTTTATGTGATATTCTACCTTCATTTCATGTTATGATACAAAGAAAAAGCTTTTTCTAAACCACCTGCATTCAAAGGAGAATCAAACAAAGCAGCTTTTTTTAATTTAAGATCTGGATGGATGGATGGATGGATGGATGGATGGATGGATGGATGGATGGATGGATGGATGGATGGATGGATGGATGGATGGATGGATGGATGGATGGATGGATGGATGGATGGATGGATGGATGGATGGATGGATGGATGGATTTTATCAGTTATCAGGCTCCTCTCCTGTGGAACCAACTAACAGTTTTAGTCAGTGAGTCCGTATAGTTAGAGTGTTATTATTATCTCTATAGTTATGCTGCTATAGGCTTAGACTGCTGGAGGACATAGGGACCCCCATTTCATCATTCTATCTCTATTCTCCCACTCTGCAGAATCTGTTAGTTCAATCTCTAACGTTCTGCTCTCTCTGCTTTTTCTCATAGTAGCTTCATCTGGTCTGTTCCTGTTTGGCTGAGACTCCATCCTGGAGAGAAATATCAGCTGTGCTGCTGCCATCAACACCTTTGTTTCTAGATGTTGGAGATCAGCCTGTTTTTCAGTGTAGTCCTGTTTCTCCAGTTGCCTTTTGTATCTATGCTTCTTTTTCTATGTCTGCTTCTGTCTCCTTGAACCCCAGTGGGCCTCAGCAGATGGCCGCTCACACTGAGCCTGGTTCTGCTGGAGGTTTCTTCCTGTTCAAAGGGAGTTTTTCCTCTCCACCGTCACTACAAGCATGCTTAGTGTGAGGGATTGCTGAAGAGTCAATCTGACTGGATGATCTGGTGAACTGGAAAGGTGTGAATTGGCGCTATAGAAATAAACTGAATAGAATTGAATTGGACAATGGACGGATGATTAGTTTTACGGTATTTGGAACTAATATTTCCTGCCTATTCCCTGCAAAAACCATCTGGAAATAAGTAAGAATGTCTTCCATTAAGTTTATTTAGCATTTAGGTGAGCAGGTACTTAAGTTGATTTCTGGATGGAAGCAACATTTCTACTCTTAAAACAAAATAATTAAATAATATGCACTTAAAATAAGACAATGCAATTGCTTTTGCCCTCATCCAGCCTCGTCCTCATTAGCCACCCATTGCACACAGACAGTTTCTCCATCCTGTTAATCGTTCCTGTTAAACTGGACTCCCCGTCCTGACAGGAACCATTCCTCTTTATTCATTGAAACTGTTTGAATAGATTTCGGTTCATCCTTGATGTTTTTGTCAGCAGGTTTAGGAGGAGCCTGGAGGGTTCGGGGGACATGCCGCCCATCCCTGGCCTGTCATCCATTAAGGCATGGATTCATTTTCTAGAGGCAGAGTGGAGTGATGGCTGCAGGGAAAGAAGGAGGCGATAATTTGGGGACAGGCGGCTGTGGCGAAGTCCACCTGGACCGCCGCGTGATGTCGGCGTGCCATCTTGATTCCTCATTCACTGCAACCTCACACGCTGACAGCCACTGATGGCACAGAAACACACTTCACACTTTGCAGGGCGGCGGATCCCCGCATGGCTGGTGGAAGCCTTTCAGCAGCGCCTCTGAAGGCCTGCACATGCATATTTAAAAGTGTCTCTGTTGTGGTGAATGTGACAGTGACAGTCCCTCACACTGTTAGTGTCAGACAGAGAAATGCATTAGCAGATGCTGAGTGTCTCACACTATGGGCTCAGACTGGGCGTCTCCATCCTCCTCTGTCTGTTCTTCACCCTGATCAGGACTTCATGGTGAATCTGAACCTTTCCCTGTAAACCAGCCCGGTACCGAACACTAAGCTGTACTGTCTTTATGCCACTCTGTCTTCCTTCCTGTTTCTCACCTTTGATGTATTTCTAGCCTGAACCTGATGGATGTTGGATGTTATGAAGGGAGGTTGTAAATGGTGGAAAGTGGCCTCTTAGCTAAGGAGCTAAACACAAACGCAGGCCAGATGTTTGAGACATCATTAAATCATTTAACCACAGAAACCAATTCTGCCATAAAGCCTAATAAAACCAAGCAGAGAAACTACCGCAGAGTGCTGTGAGTAGAACGTATCTCTGGGACAAAGCAGGCTGTCATCAGCTTCACAGTTTTCTCTTTCCTTCCACCGATGCTGCAGTGTTGCTGATCTTATTTTTAGCCTCAGCATCTTTTCCTGGACTCTTAGCACCGTGCTCCAACATGCCAGCAGAAGTTCTGTTGTCCTCTGTCCTCTCTGTAACCCAACCGGATCTCAGGGTTATTCCTGAAGGGAACGGGTCCAACCAGCAGAGGGACTCAGCGAGCTGATGATGAAGCTGACTGTCAGACCAACCCTCTTCATCCCTGAACCTGAGCCTCACTGGGAAACACAGGAAGACCACCAGAACCATCGGAGCAGACTGGCACAGAGGGGCCAGTTCCTAACTGGTCCCAGTCAAACTGTTCCAGTAACGTCCTGTTAGTAGGGGTGAAGGTTTCCATAACTGCAGGTCTGATACTTTCTACACACTCCATCCATCCATCCATCCATCCATCCATCCATCCATCCATCCATCCATCCATCCATCCATCCATCCATCCATCCATCCAGGTTGGTACCAAAATGAGTAGATGAGTCAGAACTGAAGGATCCAAACCCTGCAGCTCCTCTGCAGACGCCATAAGCGTAGATGCACCTTCAGTCCATCTACTATTTTAGATAAAATAAAATAAAAACATCTTGTTTATTTGTCATTAAAAGCTTCTGATTTTTAGAATTGTATTTTTTTAACTATTTAATATCTGAATGAATCAGATTTCTCGGTTTATAAAACACAACCTGTGCATGTTTCATCTTAAAATCAATCAAACTAGACGGTGCCGCATTTAAAAAAAGATCTAACTGCTCATTTAATTAATTTAATTAAATAATTTTATTTGAGTGATTGATGAGAAACCGATATCCTGTCAGGAGATGGATGAAGCACACATCCTGCCTGGTTCCCGACACGCTGACAGCAGACATCAGCGCAGTCAGTGGGAGATCTACACGCCGTGTCTGGAGCACGTCTGAACTAACCGGCCGCACCGGGGAGCCGGAAATCAGAACAATCAAACCCATTCATGATGAAGGCATGAGCTGACCTCTAGAAACACAGAGAGGAACCCAGCACAGAAAAATATGGACGCCATCGATTCTACCACTGCAGGCGTAATAAGTACAGCAAACATCTCGGTCCCAATATACTATGTATGACATTCAGAAGATAATTCATATTGTATAAATGATATTTATTAGTTTCTTTGTAAGATTAATAAAACATTATTGTATAATTGACTTAAAAGGCAAAGTTCTCTGTGAGCTGATTCCATCACGACATTTCAAAGCTTTCCTGATTAATCTACAGAATAACCGATGCTTATTTCTAGTAAAAAAACGCCTACAGCAGGAGACACTGATCATTTAGATTTAAACACACCTGTGTTCTCTCAGCCTCCTTATAAGCACATCTTATTTTTATATATAAGAAACTACATCAGAGTTCCTAATTTCTATCTGTTAATATGGACATAAGGCAAAGGACAACGATCAATTAATTACCATTCAGATACGAAGCATTTCCTAAATCAATGCAGACAGAAATATGATTAATATAAAGATACATGGAGACTTAAAATAAAAGCACTGACACCAAGTTAGCTGACATGTTAGCCACTGAAACCTGGCTACCTGACCTGTTAGCGACTGAGACCTGGCTAGCTGACCTGTTAGCCACTGAGACCTGGCTAGCTGACCTATTAGCCACTGAGACCTGGCTGGCTGACCTGCTAACCACTGAGACCTGGCTTCCTGACCTGTTAGCCACTGAGACCTGGCTACCTGACATGTTAGCCACTGAGATCTGGCTACCTGACCTTTTAGCCACTGAGACCTGGCTACCTGAACTGCTAACCACTGAGACCTGGCTTCCTGACCTGTTAGCCACTGAGACCTGGCTACCTGAACTGCTAACCACTGAGACCTGGCTACCTGAACTGCTAACCACTGAGACCTGGCTTCCTGACCTGTTAGCCACTGAGACCTGGCTAGCTGACCTATTAGCCACTGAGACCTGGCTGGCTGACCTGCTAACCACTGAGACCTGGCTTCCTGACCTGTTAGCCACTGAGACCTGGCTACCTGACATGTTAGCCACTGAGATCTGGCTACCTGACCTTTTAGCCACTGAGACCTGGCTACCTGAACTGCTAACCACTGAGACCTGGCTACCTGACCTGCTAGCCACTGATACCTGGCTACCTGACCTCTAAGCCACTGATACCTGGCTACCTGACCTCTAAGCCACTGAGACATGGCTAGCTGACCTGTTAGCCACTAAGACCTGGCTAGCTAACCTGTTAGCCACTGAGACCTGGCTACCTGACCTGTTAGCCACTGAGACCTGGCTACCTGACCTGCTAGCCACTGAGACCTGGCTAGCTGACCTGTTAGCCACTGAGACCTGGCTACCTGACCTGTTAGCCACTGAGACCTGGCTACCTGACCTGCTAGCCACTGAGACCTGGCTACCTGACCTGTTAGCCACTGAGACCTGGCTAGCTGACCTGTTAGCCACTGAGACCTGGCTACCTGACCTGTTAGCCACTGAGACCTGGCTACCTGACCTGCTAGCCACTGATACCTGGCTACCTGACCTCTAAGCCACTGAGACATGGCTAGCTGACCTGTTAGCCACTAAGACCTGGCTAGCTAACCTGTTAGCCACTGAGACCTGGCTACCTGACCTGTTAGCCACTGAGACCTGGCTACCTGACCTGCTAGCCACTGAGACCTGGCTAGCTGACCTGTTAGCCACTGAGACCTGGCTACCTGACCTGCTAACCACTGTGACCTGTCTAGCTGACCTGTTAGCCACTGAGACCTGGCTACCTGACCTGCTAACCACTGAGACCTGGCTACCTGACCTGCTAGCCACTGAGACCTGGCTAGCTGACCTGTTAGCCACTGAGACCTGGCTACCTGACCTGCTAACCACTGAGACCTGGCTACCTGACCTGTTAGCCACTGAGACCCTGCTTGCTGACCTGTTAGCCACTGAGACCTGGCTACCTGACCTGTTAGCCACTGAGACCTGGCTACCTGACCTGTTAGCCACTGAGACCCTGCTTGCTGACCTGTTAGCCACTGAGACCTGGCTACCTGACCTGTTAGCCACTGAGACCCTGCTTGCTGACCTGTTAGCCACTGAGACCTGGCTACCTGACCTGTTAGCCACTGAGACCTGGCTTCCTGACCTGTTAAATAAACTCTGATAATAAACAAGGCTTCTTTCTGCTGCTCTTCATCCTCTTCTGCATCACATTGTTTAAAGGAATTCTTTTCCTGAGCGGCTCTCATATTAATGCGTATAACGATGCAGGACTCCATCCTGTTTCTGTTTGCTGTGCAGATCCGTCTGCGTCTGAGAAGATAACGGCTGCGCTGTGAACTGAATGTGTGACTTCATCTGCATCCCTTAGCCAGCGTTTATACATCTAATCACTGTATATCTGAACCTTTTCATTACGTTTAGCAAAGATGTTGCTCAATTAGGATTCATCTTCTGATCATTTTATCTGATGCATCATCTTTAATTGTTTTCATCTGAACTGTTTCTGGAATGAGAGAAAATAAGGTGTGTGTTGGAGTCCTGCAGCGTCTTTGGATCCGTTTCTGAGGGTTTCGCTCGGCTGCTGTCAGAAAGCAGATTTGGATCCAAACTCTGATTTCATTTTCCTCTTTGTTTATCATGCAGAAATCTGACAAACCTGGGTTAAACATCTCTAAGACCCCTCAATATTATAGGAGCTTTAGATCTTTTTTTTTATTACCACCAAAACCTTTCATATGAAGGTAACTATATATATATATATATATATATATATATATATATATATATATATATATATATATATATATATATATATATATATATATATATATATATATATATATATATATATATATATATATATATATATAGCCAGACTTAGAACTTTCTCAGAAAATGTTTCATCTTGTAAAGGAAAGAGGTGAGCCTTTTACCTGAATCAGAGTTTAAAACATCTCTCACCTGAAACAGATTGGCTTTTATTATTATTATTATTATTATCATTATTATTATTTTTGTTGTAGTTGTTGTTTCTGTTGCTGCTGATGAGTTTAGTTTAGTTATTTTTCTTTTGGGATTATTGCTGTAATTTTCACAGATTAATGTTCTATCCTGGTAATCCCAGTCTGTAGGTTATCAATTAATCCCAGCTTCAGGTTTCTGTCACAGAAATATGGTGATCAGATGTTGTTCTCCGTCTTTTATTGATCTATTTTATATTTTTCTACTCTCCATCCAATCAGATAAGGTCAGAACTATAAGAACTAGTTTATCAACGTTTGAAAAAAACATTTGATTAGATTAACAATCCATTAATCATCCAAAGCAGTTAGAAAATGAAAATAAATGATCATAAAAATACCAAACTTCAGGTAAAAGGGTGCGAATAGTTTATAAGTTTAAATCTCTTAAAAACGGCGCTGATCAGGAGAATCTATCCTCCAAATAGCAAAAATAATATTTTATAAAACATTAGAAGGTATTTTAACGCTTCATTGCTTTTATTTAATGATTTATTACATCAGAAATCTTCCTGCATCTTAACAAAATGATGTCCATGTTCCTATCAGCTGAACTGCATCCAAACTTTCCAACCTTTCGCTCCTTCATAGGAAAACCCGCAGCTTTCCACGCGTGGACACAGCTTCTGAAGGGAAGCGCAGACACGAGGAGAAACCACGGCCACGCAGCGCGAACCTCTGCGGTGTTCCCCACAGACAGACAGACAGACAGACAGACAGGAGGCTGCAGGAACCTACCGGGGGTGAAGAGGAGGAGGTTCTGGTCAGGCTGCCCAGGGAGGAGAAGATGAGGGAGGCTGCTTCCAGACTGCTCTGCCTGCTGGAGGAGAAATCCGCCACTGTTTTAAAGCGCACACTGAGGAGGAGGACCAGGAGGAGGAGGAGGGGGGTCTATATTTATTGTTATTGGTTGTTTTCTTCATGGGATTCTGGGCTGAAAGATAAAAGCTGATATTAAACAATGGGAACAATGATAATTAACATCTTAATAAAAGACGTCAGTTTAATGGAAAATCTTTACAATGAAAGAAAATCTTTTTTGAATCATCCGAACCAATCAGAATAAGCCATGCTGACCAATCGTAATAAGCCATGCTGACCAATCGGAATAAGCCATGCTGACCAATCGGAATAAACAATGCTGACCAATCAGAATAAGCGATCCTGACCAATCAGAAAAAGCGATGCTGACCAATCAGAATAAACAATGCTGACCAATCAGAATAAGCCATGCTAATGTATCGGAATAAGCTATGCTGACCAATTGGAATAAGCTATGCTGACCAATCTGAATAAGCGATGCTGACCAATGGGAATAAACAATGCTGAGCAATCTGAATAAGCGATGCTGAACAATCTGAATAAGCAATGCTGACCTATCGGAATAAACGATGCTGACCAATTGGAATAAACGTTGCTGACCAATCTGAATAAGCAATGCTGACCAATCAGAATAAACAATGCTGACCAATTGGAATAAACAATGCTTACCAATCTGAATAAGCCATGCTGACCAATCGGAATAAGCGATTCTGACCAATCGGAATAAGCTATCCTGACAACACGGAATAAGCGATGCTGACCATTCGTAATAGGCGATCCTGACCAATCGGAATAAGCGATGCTGACCAATTGGAATAAACAATGCTGACCAACCAGAATAAGCCATGCTAACCAATCGGAATAAACAATGCTGACCAATCAGAATAAACAATGCTGACCAATGGAAATTAACAATGCTGACCAATCGGAATAAGCGATGCTGACCAATCGGAATAAATAATGCTGACCAATTGGAATAAACAATGCTTACCAATCTGAATAAGCCATGCTGACCAATCGGAATAAGCTAACCTGACCACTCGGAATAAGCGATGCTGACCAATCGGAATAAACAATGCTGACCAATTAGAATAAACAATGCTTACCAATCTGAAAAAGCCATGCTGACCATTCGGAATAAGCGAACCTGACCACTCGGAATAAGCGATGCTGACCAATTGGAATAAACAATGCTGACCAATTGGAATAAACAATGCTTACCAATCTAAAAAAACGATGCTGACCAATCGGAATAAGCAAACCTGACCACTCAGAATAAGAGATTCTGACCACTCGTAATAGGTGATCCTGACCAATCGGAATAAGCGATACTGACCAATTGGAATACACGATGCTGACCAATCTGAAGCTATGCTGACCAATGGGAATAAACAATGCTGACCAACCTGAATAAGCGATACTGACCAATCGGAATAAGCGATGGTGACCAATGGGAATAAACAATGCTGACCAACCTGAATAAGCCATGCTGACCAATCGGAATAAGCTAACCTGACCACTCGGAATAAGCGATGCTGACCAATCGGAATAAACAATGCTGACCAATTAGAATAAACAATGCTTACCAATCTGAAAAAGCCATGCTGACCATTCGGAATAAGCGAACCTGACCACTCGGAATAAGCGATGCTGACCAATTGGAATAAACAATGCTTACCAATCTAAAAAAACGATGCTGACCAATCGGAATAAGCAAACCTGACCACTCAGAATAAGAGATTCTGACCACTCGTAATAGGTGATCCTGACCAATCGGAATAAGCGATACTGACCAATTGGAATACACGATGCTGACCAATCTGAAGCTATGCTGACCAATGGGAATAAACAATGCTGACCAACCTGAATAAGCTATGCTGACCAATTGGAATAAACAATGCTGACCAACCTGAATAAGCTATGCTGACCACTTGGAATAAACAATGCTGACCAACCTGAATAAGCTATGCTTGGAATAAGCGATGCTGACCAATCTGAATAAGCGATGCTGACCAATCAGAATAAGCGATGCTGACCAATTTGAATAAACAATGCTGACCAATCTGAATAAGCCATGCTGACCAATCGGAATACACAATGCTGACCAATCTGAAGCTATGCTGACCAATGACGATAAGAGATCCTGACCAATCGGAATAAACGATGCTGATCACTCGGAATTAGTTACACCGACTGTTCCTCTTGATCATTACTCCTGTGTTAGCACATTAGTCGTGTGCCGTGGTACACTCCCGTCTCTGATATCATATAAAATATACTAAATGGAGTGAAAATAAAAAGGGTGGTTTTTTCCTTTAGTGTCACAAAAATTCCAATTTAAACACCTTTTCAGGATAACTTAATATAAAGAGACAATGTGGCTCCAAGGCCAACATTTCCTGCTTCCAGGCACCTGGCTGTCCTCTTAAACCCGCAGTGCACAAAGTCCAAGCAAGAATTTCCTCTTCTGTTGTGATGAATATTAGACTCAACTGACACATATAAAATCATAGCCTCAATGAGTTTGTCTTATAGATACTCAGCCCACTAAATTAGAGACATTTACAAACTATAACACAATATCTATTGAGAAGGATTAATTTGTGAGGCCGGAGGCTAGGCAGAGTCTCTGGTGGTTGGCCATAAGATTGGAGGCGAGGCAGAGTCTCTGGAGGTTGGCTGTGAGGCTGGAGGCTAGGCAGAGTCTCTGGAGGTTGGTGGAAGGCTAGGCAGAGTCTTAGGAGGTTGGCGGGAGGCTAGGCAGAGTCCCTGGTGGTTAGCCATGAAGCCGAAGGCGAGGCAGAGTCTCTGGAGGTTGACCGTGAGGCCAGAGGCTAGACAGAGTCTCTGGATGTTGGCGGGAGGCTAGGCAGAGTCTCTGGAGGTTGGTGGGAGGCTAGGCAGAGTCTCTGGGGGTTAGCCATGAAGCCGGAGGCGAGGCAGAGTCTCTGGAGGTTGACTGTGAGGACGAGGCTAGGCAGAGTCTCTGGAGGTTGGCTGTAAGCAGGGACGTGGCTAGACCTATTTTAGGGTGGCTGAAGTCATCCCTTCGTTGGTATTAGCCACCCCATAATTATTTTGCGATTTTTATTGTTATTTTTTTATTTATTGATTTTTTTTCCATATAACCCCAAACAATTGCAGTAAAGCACTGAAAACGAGCCACCAAGAAGGCAAGTTAATCTGAAGATAAGTTCCTGTTAGTTTATTTACAAACACAATTATTTATACAATTATTAATATCGTTAGGATATTCATTTCCTTCATTGGCTCCGCGTCCAGCGTCACGTCACGTGGTACACGGCCATCAACTGGACCATAGCAGCTGTGCAGTGCAGCAACAGCGCGCCCTTTGAATCTCCACACAGTCATCGAGCTTGATTAGGAAAGTTATGGTTGCGTGCAGATACATACGGTGAGTTTGCCATTTGATGTCAGCGGTTTACATTTTCTTCACTTTACCTGGAGTGAGGAAAGAGACAATATAGGCCTAATAGCTTGTCTGATTCAGTAGGAATTACGTTACCATGGTGAACAAAGTCAGTGGTGTGGGAAAACACGATGTTGTTGTAGCCTACTAGCATCATTATAATAGTTTTGTCACAGGAGCAGTGATGGGCAGTAGCGCCGCTACATGTAGCGAAGCTATTAGTTTAACTACATTTTCAAGTAGCTTGACCGTAGCGTCGCTGCTTTATTTATCAAGTAACTTTCCTGTAGCGACGTTATTGTTTTGATCAAGTAGCGACGTAGCGTCCACAAACGCTACAAAATCCAGGGCAAAACTAAGAAATGAAACCAGGTTTTCTATTTCTAAACAACAATCAGCCACAAAACTACTGTAAATAGCAGTTTCAGCTGACGCTTTATAAGTGGCGTAGTAGCACAGGCACACTCCGTAGGGTTAAACAAGCGCACCTTTTCCGAGGCTGTCGTTCTATTGGCTGGAAAGGTTGCTAGGCAACGATCCAACTGCAGTCTGAGAGAGCAAAACAAATCCGCAAGCAGAGCGTAACTGAGACCCGTGCAGAGCGGAGATGGAGGCAAGCGAGAGGAAAAAATATCTGTGATAATATAGAAAATATCTGTTTAAATCTGAGAGAAGAAACAAAGATTTTTGAGAGAAGAGAAAATATTTGAGAGAGAGTGCATGTTTTGAGTGTGAGCATTATAAGTTTTGAGTGCAAGAAGATGAAATTCTTTTCTCTAATTGAAGTTATGTGCTCTTGCATTATGGCAGGATAATTCTCCCATATCTATGTGCCACCAGTCTGATAGGGCGACACTGTGTGATATGGTAGTGCTTCCTTGGGTTGACTATAGTTCTAAGTTGTACGTTTCATATATTGTTGATTTTGTGTTTTCATTAATACATTGTACTTAAAAATACTTCCTTTATTTGCATTAAAACTTTGTCAGACTGATGTGAAAAAGTCTCAAGGATATCCTTCTTTGCAATGATGCTATTGCCTATTGCCTACTGTCCATTTATGCAACTTGTATTTTGTGGTTAAACTTTAGATTAAGCAGAAATCTATCAAAGATAATGCTGCATTTATTGTTAAGTTCCTCACATATATGTGTTTCTCTCTGTGCCAGGTGTAGAGAAAGACATGCCAAAGTCCAGGTCACACACACACACCAAGCACACACACAGAAACAGGGTTATTGCAAAGCAGACAGGGGTTCCTGACAGGTTGTGGGTGCAGGGGAGATGGGGAAAGATGAATGGCCAGGTTAAGGGTTTATGAAGATGTTGGGAGTCTGTTGGTTAGACAACTGTCTTCTGTAGAAGGTTTCCATTATGATGAGTGGCGAACCACTTGCCTTCTTCCATTTATGCAGTAATGCATGGCACCTACCATTTACTCTTTGTAATTTAGCACATTTTAACTGGTGTAGTTTAGTTGGTGAAGTAGCATTAGTGAGGGAAGTGTTTCCCAGGTATGTTGCTCTTAAAATAATGAATTTATAGACAGCGCCTTAGAAAGTGCACTGAAAAAATTTCGGCGCGCGCTGCGCGCGCGCAATATCTTACCTAGGGGCTAAGCCACCCATGTCTCTCAAACCTAG